GAATAGAATAGAATAGAATAGAATAGAATAGAATAGAATAGAATAGAATAGAATATAGAGTTAGGGAATGGAATAGAATAATACAGAATAGAATGGAATACACAAGAATAGAATTAGAATAGAATAGAATAGAATATAGAATAGAATAGAAGATGGAATAGAATAGAAAAGAAATAGAATAGAATAGAATAGAATAGAATAGAATAGAATAGAATAGAATAGAATAGAACAATAGGGTAGAATACAGAGTCAGTACAGAATGCAGAATAGAATAGACATAGAGAAGAGAAGAGAAAAAGAACAGAATAGAATGCAGAGTCAATACAAAATAAAGAATAGAATAGAGAATAGAATTCTTTATTGGCCAAGTGTGATTGGACACACAAGGAATTTGTCTCTGGTGCATATGAGCTCACAGTGTACTACTGTAATATGACCTATTACTCGCTGTACTACGGCGAGTAATAGGTCATGGGTCATAAATCATAGTTGCAGTCATTAATCATAGGTTACAAACTGCAACTGATAGGAGAAGATAGCAGGAAAGATGAGAAAAGATGCGGAAGGAGGCAGGGGGGCTGCGGGAATGAAAGCATCCATCAGAGCGATGACTCGGAAGGGAAAACTTGCTGTCTGGCTGGCCTGGCAGGCGATGCCCTTTGGCGGGGAGAAGCTGAAACGGATCCTGTCCAGGGCGCGAGGGGCCTGCTGATACTTTCTCGTCCCTCTTTCTGGCCCGCGCATTGTACAGGTCCTCCATGGGAGCCGTTGGTTTTTTCGGCAGTCCTAACTCTCTGTTGAGATCTCTGCCTGTCCTGCCGTGTCGAACCAGACAGTTCCCGGCTGAGCCTTTATGGATTCTTTCAGAGCTCAGACCCTTGAAAATGCCCTTCCGGGGGTCTCTCCGCCTGCCCAGGTTGCCATTCCCAGCCGGGGCTGGAGCTCAGCCTGGCCTGGCCTGCTCTGGTCTCCACATGGAAAAAGTTGACCCTCATCTGCCTGGCCACCTGCTGCATTCGCTCTCGGGAAGCTGTAATTCGGCGGCTCTTTCTGTCCCGCGGCCAACGGCCCCGGCTGGGGAAGAGCAGGAAAGCAGCGTGTAACACACACACACACCCCGCGCTCTCTCTGCGTCTTTCGAGGACCCCCCTGTCCGCTTCGGAAGAGCCACAGTCCTTCCTAAAATGCCAGGTGCCATGTTTCTCTCAGGACAGATTCTCTTCCTGTTTACGTCTTTGGCAACTATTTTTCTGCAGAGTCGGGCTCACTTGGGTAAAAGCATGAAACCCAGTTTGCGTACATCAGTACCGTTTCCTGTACTGGAGGTTTTCAAGAAGAGATTGGTCTGAGATGGCAGGGGTTCTTTTCTGCCCCATGTAGGAGGTTGGACTAGATGACCTCCCAAGGCCCCCTTCCAACTCTCTTATTCTGTTAGACAATCTTTGGGATATTCCTTCCAGCCTTTTTCCTCATTTCACCCCAAGTTGCTTTTTCACCACTTTTATTTTTAACACATTTTATCCTACTGGAAATCCTTTGTTTATCCCTTTTCTTCACCCCTTTCTAAAACCAACGTTCCTTCCGTCGGAATTGCTCTTCTTTTGCCAGCAAGGCGAAACAAGTCAACCCAGAGCAGCGTTTTTTCAACCCTGGCGACTATTAAGATGTGTGGGTGATTTAGTTCCCAGCGTGGCTGTCTGGGGAATTCTGGGAGTCGAAGTCCACCGGTCTTAAAATGGCAGAAGTTGAGCAAGGATCCCACCTATTCGGCATGGGTCAGTTTGAAGAACTCGGTCCAGTGCTGAAGGTTTCACATAGGTGAAAAGAAGGAGGATACCAGCCGTAAAGAATATTTGTAGCTCAGGGTTGAACTGAGAGGGTCCTGGGTGCTCTCTGAGCTTGGTGGTTTTCTGGTAGGCGTCTCATGACCCAGCTAGGGAACGTCATCAGTGCTAGATAGGATAAATCAGAGGCCGGCAAGACTTGGCAAGACTTGTGGACTTCAACTCCCAGAGTTCAACTCCCAGAGCTTTTCTGGCTGATGAACTCTGGGAGCTGAAGTCCACAAGTCTTAAAGCGGCCAAGTTTGGGGACCCCCGAAACAAATGCTTGTGGGCCTGGAAACAGGAGCACTTGCCCGGGGGGGAAGACCGACTGGGACCCCTGGAAGAAGGGCATTGCAGAGCGGAGGGCCAAGGGGTCCAGAGGGGGCAGGACCTGGGGAAATGGCCCCACGCTCCGTAGGAGCAGCTCAGCCCCGGGAACCGATGTCCCAGGAAGGTTTTGGTTTCGTTTTTGCTGGACGTGACGAAACTCCCGGCTGGACGGCCATCAACGGGGGATGCTTTCCTTCCGGATTTGCCCACTAAGTCATGAGCGAGGGAGGCACCTTGGCTTCAATGGAGCCTCCCAGCCCCGGAGTCTATATTTAGGCTCAGTTCTCATGGCGGAAAGCTTGGCCCGGGGCCAGGAGGGCAATTGGGGGAGCCGCCTCTCCCTCCCAGGTGTGTCAGCAGAGCGGCTGGTGCCTTGAAACCTGACTTTCCTGTTCCGCCTTCTGGCCTGGCAGGGCATCTCCCGGGCTCTAACAAGCCTTGGCGGGCTGGAGCTTGTGGGGTTTTCTTCCCTCCTTGGGGTGGGGGTGCTGCCCTTCTGTGATTCCCACCCACCCACCCACCCCCTCGGCTGGCTGGAGGGCAGTTTCCCAGGGGAATTGCCTCATCTTGGGCACGGCCGAGCTAGCAGTTGATTGACGCCTTCTGCTTCCTAGGAGGAGTTGGGGCTCCTCTGGGGGGCCGAGAGCGAGTCTTTTGGGGGGGGGGTCTCCCGGGTAGAATAAGATCAGGGCCTAGAAGAGAAGAGAAGAGAAGAGAAGAGAATATAGAATAAGAATAGAATAGAATAAAATATAGAATAAGAATAGAATAGAATATAGAATAAGAATAGAAAATAGAATAAAATAGAATATAGAATAAGAAAAGAATAGAATAGAACAGAATTCTTTTATTGGCCAAGTGTGGTTGGACATACAAGGAATTTGTCTTTCGTGCAAATGCTCTGTGTACATAAAAGAAAAGGTACATTTGTCAAGAGTCGAGAATCATCAGGTGCAACATTTAATGATAGTCACAGGGTACAATAAGCCATCAAATCATACTAGGAAACAGTCAATATAAATCGTGAGGATGCAAGGGACAAAGTCACAGTCATACAGTCACAAGTGGGAGGGGATGGGTGATAAGGAGTGATGAGAAGATTAACAGTAATAGTAGTGCAGACTTTGTAAATAGTTGGAGAGTGTGGAGGGAATTATTTGTTTAGCAGAGTGATGGCGTTCAGGGAAAAAACCGTCTTTGTGTCTAGTTGTTCTGGTGTGCAGGGCTCTACAGCGTCGTTTTGAGGGAAGGAGTTGAAACAGTTTATGTCCAGGATGTGAGGGCTCTGTAGATATTTTCACAGTCCTCTTTTGGACTCCTGCAGTATGCAGGTCCACAATTGAAGGCAGGTGGGTAGCCATTGTTTTTTCTGCAGTCCTAATTACCCTCTGGAGTCTGTGTCTGTCTTGTTGGGTTGCAGAACCAAACCAGACAGTTAGGAGGGACTGGACAGCCGTTCGTCCGAAAGGGTAGAGCAGGACTCTTCAGACCTGACAGCTTTTAAGCCTTGTGGACTCCAACTCCCAGAATTCCTCCCCCTCCAGTCATGTTAGCTCGGGAATTCTGGGAGTTGAAATCCACAAGTCTTGAAGTTGTTAAGGTTGGAGACCCCTGGCCTAGGGACTCCTGCTCGAGCAGGGGGCTGGACTAGAAGACCTCCGAGGTCCCTCCCCACTCTGTTATTCTATCATCTATGTCAGGGGTCTTCAAACTTGACAGCTTTAAGACTTAAGGACTTCAGCTCCCAGAATTCCTCCTCCAGTCACGCTCGCTCAGGGATTCTGGGAGTTTTATGCACAATATTGGAGAAATGAAAGCATACCACCGAAAAGAGAGATAATAAGGAAAACAATGGCTTGGGCAGAATCTGATAGATTAACTTTAATAGTGAAAAACGAGGGGGAATCAGAATATCGTGATAGCTGGAATAAGTTTGACTGTGGTTGCAAAAAAGAGGGGAAGGTCAGAACGAAAATAGCTAGGAGGATTAGAATCAAAATGTAAATATTGTACCAATAATAGGAACGTTAATGGTTTGGTTATATTTTTGTACATCAGGCAAAATAATTGCCAAAACGCTTGCACTGTGCTTGATACTTGCAGTTGTAAACAATAAAAAATATTTTTTTAAAAAAAAGCAGAGTTGAAGTCCTCAAGGCTTAACCTTGCCCAGGTGTGAAGGCCTTGGGGTAGGGGGCCTTCCTGCTTGAGTGGGGTGGTTGGGAGTGGACTTCTTGGATGAGAAGCGAAAACCCAAGAAAAAGTCCCGTGGCCTTTTGGAGAAAAGCGACCTTTGGGGGACAACTGTGAGCTCGGGGGACCCCGTCCCTCCTTAGGAGCCCACCTGCCAGCTCCTCGTCCATGGGGCACAGGGCTTCCTCTGCGAGAGCAAAGGACCCTGG